TTTTAACGTTTGACAATGTATATGATAGATACATATTTTAGTTATTTTAATGTGTGAACATGGCATGCAATGAACTGGTTTGACGTGGACAAGTAAGCACCTGAAGATGGCATTATTATGCCGAAACATGTAGTGCGAGGGAAAGGAGATAAATGAATGTATGCACTGCAAGACGGATTAAATAAATCATGGACTTATTTATTTTCTTTGGGAAAAGTGTTAAAGAATCATTCTTGTTAATATAGCGCGGACTGTGTACGTTATGGGATATATTATGTCTTATTTCCATTATTTGTGGAATTTAATGCAAAGTTTTCTTTCATGTGTCATTATTGTAACAGCAGAAATATCGCCCTAGATATTTATAATTGTAATAATCTTTTCATAAACTTGGCTTAAGTTTTGTCTGCATAGCCACATTAGCATTTGCAGCATAGGCCCAAATCACGTTGAAAGGCATGAAGCTCAACTTTCCCGTGAACATGTTTTGCAGTTATTGCAATGTGATTGGAGACTGGGTACCGACATGACTAGAGAGGCAATTCAGTAAAAAGTAGGAAATACGTACAATATTCCGATATAAACTACTGTCTGCTTACATTAAATATTCTGTATTCAGTTTTTTATTAACATAATTTGTTTTATGAAATGATGCCCGTTCATTGATATCTGGCAATTTATTCCGTTCAAGGGATCGAAATTTATATGATCGCTATTTTTTCTTCGGTCTCCAAAATCGGATAAATGGAATGGATACAACTTTTGACTATGAGATTAACGAACAAGTTAATCCAAAGAATTTTAATTGTACAGGGAATGATCAGTATTACAAAATCTCCTCTATAAATCCCATCCGCACGCGATAGTGAGGATGGCTGAGGCACTGTGCTGCAAGCCGAAAGGTAGTGGATTCGATTCCCTCTGCCAGTTTTATCATTTCACCATTTATTTCCAACTTCACTATTTTCCTGATGTCGACTCAGTATCTAAAAGAAATGAGAAACATGTGTCACCCTTGGGATAAAGGACATAAGGCTGACAACCTCACTGCCATCTGTAAGCCGATTGGTTAAAAAGTTTGGGAGCTTCGACGTCTGACCAACCTATTGACATCCACGCTCTGTTACAAGGGTATTTGCTATGGTAAAACAGTAATAAATCGCTGTCTGATTGTGTATTCATGTGTGTAAAGAGTAAGTGCTCCGACAAGACGAAAGTTGACCTAAAACATCACTGCATAATCTGAATCAGATACTTTACCGCGACAGCGGAGAGGGAAACAAAGCAGAGTACAGCAAGCAGTAACAGGAGCAGACCACAAAACAGGTGGTTAAGTGTGTCTTCCAGAGCTCGCATATACCTGAAATTGTAAAAGGACAATTCACAAGTTTATCACAATCTGTCAGGAATGTGGATTGGGGATAGTCCGGTCGGTATATCGACCGGCTGAGCCGAGGTCAAGAAAGCATAGCTCTTGCTGTGCTCTGGTATTAAGGGGTTTGATTTTATTTAACATGGGGCGATACTAGGGGCAATTTATTAGACTTAATTTATGTTTTCTAAGTCGGGAAACTACAAATGAACCACAGGTTGGGGAGCCGGAAACGAGCGATGAAATCACCTTTAGACGCAACACATTCCTAAGTCACTAGACTTCAGTTGTGCAGTTGATAGAAAAGATTGACAAATTGGTTGAACGACACAGCAGTAAGTCTCGTTTTCGCACGAGAGGGTATCGACCAGTATGAATCTGCCGATTTAGCATTTTGAATGAACAGAGTTTTCACGAGTTGCGAGAATGTTGAACAATTGTGGCTCTGACAAGGGAATTCGCGAGCACTGTGATTCTCCAGTCGACTCCAGAAATCGTGTGGTAGGAAGGAGATTCGACACCGTCTTTTTTAAGCATGAGTAATTGCCCGTGGTCGGATCACTGATGATTTTTAATATGTAATTTCGTTTTCACTGATGGTTAGAGTATGACTTTGGTTACGTGTTATATGATAAGTTTGTTTTACTGATTGTATAATATAAATTTTGTGTTTGTGTTATGTATGCTTTGTATATTATGGTTAGTCAATTTTGAGAAGTTAATATACAATTGTGTAATGACAGATTTTATATGTCAAAAGTGTATGTATATAGTTGTTCATTTTATTATATTTGTTTTTTTTTTAATGTTGAGGGTTTTTTGTGGTATTCGTAATAAATATGTCACTAGTCGAAGTAGGAGCTATCCATAGATGCCCGATGTCGGGTGCGTACAGTCATTGATCCCCATCTGGGCAGAGTGAACTCGGTTGGCAGCGACGTCGCAACGGGGTGGCACAACAATATACCACCATTTCCGCCTACGTCTTCATGGTGTGGTGATTAACTAATTGAGCAGAGAGACAGTCTTACCTTTACCACTTCCTATAATGAACTCACGTGTACTGTGAAAGTAATGACGTACTGCAGTATGGCTTGATGGTGCCGAACGCACTCGTTCAGTTGTGTCTGCATGCGGCAGAACCCGCCCTCGGAGCTGGAAACTGGCTCTTCTCCCCCGTCACTGCCAAAGTCAGCTCCTGTTGGAACCAATTCTTGCTTTATGCCCAAGAGGTTCGTTCTGAGCTTCTGCAGCTGACTGCACGCCACCATAACCAGCGTAGCATATAAGAGTTGGGAGCCGAATACAATGCCCATGTAGAAGTTTGATGCAAATATCTACAAGGAAAAATTTAACTTATTTATTAATACACAACTTCTTAAGATTATTTCTTTTTTATATAGTTTTACGGAATTTGAGAGACAGAGAGTAGCTAAAATAAATTATATAATATCTGAAATAACAGGGTGAATCGTATAGAACCGACCCGATGAATTTGCTAATAATTCCGCAGGTGATGCTCACAGTCACGACATAATAATCCCAGAAATGCCAGAAGAAACGATTGCAATTGTGCGGGACAGGTTACTGAAGTCTCCCAAGAAATCATTACCACGTCTAAGCCAGGAAACCGGGTATTCCTATTAAACGTGTCAACGGGCTGCAAAGAAAGCGAATCTTCGTCCCTACAAGATCACCAGTTTTCAGGAAATGATAAAGATAAACGGATACGGTACTGTTTATGGTTTCGGGAATTCGTGCTCGATTAGCCGAGAATTCTGGATATCACTTGGTTTAGTGATGAAGCATGGCTCCACCTATCAGGATATGTAAACGCACAAAATTCCAGGATCTGGGCGTCTGAAAACCCACATGAGATGGCTGAATCACCACTACACCCACAAAAAGTGGGTGTGTGGTGCGCGGTGCGACATTTCTGGCTTACGAATCATTGGACTGATCATCTTCGACACGACCGTGGACAGCACCTTATACTGCCGTATTTTTTACGATTTCGTGCAGCAGCTGGATAATGTGGAACTTACACAGGGTTATTTTCAGCAGGATTCAGCGACGTGCCACACGTCAAACATGTCCATGGAACTGATTGAGAGCTTCTTCCCCGATCGCGTCATCTCTAAAAATATGTGGCCCTCAAAATCCCCCGACCTTACCAGCCCGGATTTTTTTTTNTCTGTATGATATATTTTATATTACAGCTCATTTCGTCGGGCCGGTTCTATATGAATCACTCTGTATCACATAAACGGAAGTGTTTATGACTTTGAGGTAGACATGTGTTTTTATGGACTTCGAGGTGTGTGTGTGCTTCTTACGTTATTAATGTAAAAAGCATGCACCGGAATTATATGCAAAAGTATTCTCCGCAACTTCTATTACATTCTGCCCAGCTGAACGGCACCACATTCTATCAGAAAGCATTTTCATAACTATTTGTTTTGCTGTAATCAGAGAGATTCATATAGTGGTTATAATCAGCCTGCAGCTATGTTGTGCAACCGCTCTTCACCCTCTACTTTATTTTGTTGTGTGGGGGTTCCGGTGGCAATGAAATCCTTCCTCAGGGTCGTTTGCGGGTCTTGGATTACGAGACAAAGGGTATTAATATTACACAAACCCACATTACAATTTCCCACTGGTTTAATATATATTATATGCAGAAACACGTCTGTCCGTCGAAATGACCGAACGAGAAGTTTCCGAAGCCTGGAATATATCCTTGAGTTTGGGGACATTAATTCTCCCACCCTCGCAGATATATTCCATCACTGCTTCTGATTCGATCATTCAAAAGGAAGGCGTGTATTACAACTTTAAATCCTCCAATACCCTCTTACAAATTATATCTTCGAAGCCGCTGGTCCAGCGATATTCCCAACGATTCCTGAGACCTCGCTGGACTGCAGCTGCGAAGTGTAATATTTCAGACGCTAAGCGGCATCCTTTACTCATGATATATGTATATATATTGGCTTCGCGTAACAACTGACACTATGGCGCCACTATTACGTGCCGCAGGGACATAAGTGTCAGTTGTTTATACGCCGCTTACACCAAGTCTTGCTCTTAATATTCCAATTTAATCACTAGCTTAAATTGGACGACTTCAGTTGGCTGTCAACTTATTGTGTTTTTAAGATGCCTTTTTGTAATGTGCGGGCTAAAAACGTAAAAATTACTATATTAAAAATTAATTTTTGCCTGTGTTTTATATGGGTGTGAAACTTGGTCTCTGACATTAACGGTGGAACATTGAATGAATGTGTTTGAGAGGAGAATGCTGAATGGAATACATGGACCAGAAAGGGAAGAAGTGTTAGAAGACTTAAAGAAAGTACTCAATAATGAAGTCATAACTTGTACTCTTCGCCAAATTTACTTGGAATGTTAAATGTGAGGACGAGATGGGCATGGATTGTCGCACGAATGGATGAAGATACAGGCATACTGGTGTAGGGTATTAGTGGGAATTTAAGTGGACAGGTCTCATAGGAAGACGGAGGGGTAGGTGGTTGAATAATATTAAAATGGATCTTAGAGAGATACGATGGAGTGTTATGATAAAGAACAATCGGGTACCATAAAATATTGCGAAATACTTAAGTAGTTCTACAACCTGCGGTTTCTCAAAAGGACTGATCTCAATGGATTTAGTTAGATGTAATTTGATTTTCATTATGTTTCACTGCATGCAGTATGAATATTCCAAATATTAGTAGGATAACATAAATAAAAGTGTTTATTTATGACGTAATTAATAGGTTATTGCACAGCAGGAGACGTAATCTTCGTAGACATTGAACACATACACTAATACAAAAGAAATATTTTTATTAGCTATAACCTGTGTCTGCAGGTAGGGAGAGGGGCGTTACGGTTGTTGGTTTAGGCTATGCACTACAATCCAAAAGGTCGTGCTTTCGATTTTCTGAATTTTAATTCACTCAATCCTTCCAGACACACTATGAATCAGCGGTCACCTGAGCCTCTTTAACAGAAATGAGTACCACGAATTTTCTCGGGAGTAAAGTTCTTCTGGCGTGTGAGCATAATAAGGTGATCGCTATCTGTAGCCGATTTTCTTGAATATGTATGAGCCTCTCCGCTTCACAGTCGTATGGACACGCATACAGTTCAGTTGAGGATACTGAAACCGATATGTTGCTGATTCTAACATATACGTATATTTTCCCATGTAATATTAATATAATATAAAATCACTCAGATATGGTACACTGTTTAGTCGAAATTCTTTTGATATTGGTGGTGAACAATTGTTAGATAAGGATATCAGAACGCTAATCAATTTGTAACTAACTTATTCCTGATCCAAATGTTCCGTAAGGTTGGAAAATGATTATTAATGATAAGTAAAACTTGAAATGAAATATAAATAGATAAAAGGGATTGCTTTCTTCAAGAATATATTTGTCGATTTGAAAATGTAGTTTAGTTACCGCTTCACCGCGTAGGACTATGTCGACTAATACTGAAACAGTATAAACGTTTACGGAATATACTTCTAAATATCTATTGATTTTCGTTGGAGCCAGTGGAATTTACTTTAATTTCAGTTTTCAGCGTAACTTACTTTATCGTGACCAATGATAATTTCATTCTTAATTAAACTACCTATTGTCTTTCTTCATTTACACGTTTTTCACTGGAAGCTGAAACAATAAAAGGACACACAGTAAAATACGAAATTACCTGCATGACGATTACGAGTTCGTATCCCGGACTGCTGACAGTGTCAAAAGGGTACGTGGCGCTGAAGATCAAATCATGGGATGCATATATCCGTACTCCTGATTGTACTAGATGGATTAAAGTTGTGAATGCGTAGGCGTATTTCAAAACTTTCTGAATGTGCGGTATCCACCCCGCGAAAGTACGGTGTCCGGTGTGAGGATCTCTGGTCGGTTGGTCTTCCCATGTGAAGGATTCCGTGAGACGAAGCAGACGCTCAAAATCACGTAAACGCCAGCTGGAACAGACGCAGAAAGAAAAATATTAAATGATATCGACTGTTCGGTTAATACATGATGTAGTCTCGTAGGTCACCGACGTTTCGGACGAAAGTGTTACCTCCTTCTTCAGGGTCATGTGGAATTTCGGTAAACTCGCAGATTGCACGTTCTCACATTTCAGAATACATTAGTCACCGCTGAGGGAGCCTTATAATTAACAAAACTCTAAAGATCGCTTCGTGTTTTGACACTTCCAGTAAGATACAGAAAACGTGTGGCATACATTTACATCTTTCTGTTAGGTATAGAGAAAGTACTCCTCGTAATGGCACTTTCTGTTTGACATAACTTTATCGAAATTAAGTAAGTAGCAATGATAGGTTATGCCGTATTTTGCTACTTTCACCAATGTATCACTTGCACATTCACTTACATCACCATATTCGGACCTTCAGTCTCGCATTGGGATTGGTTTTTGTGTATAATTTTTTTCACGTAACCACTAAAACATTTTCTGATACCAGGATGTAAGTTGCGTATGGTACCACAAGAAGATATAATATTTGATTTACCTTAAATTAAGGTGGAACCAATATAATATTGAACTCGCATTCACTACTCGAAAAGTCTTCATAAAATTTTTCAAATCATCGTTGTGTATGATGATATCCATATAAAATGCGAGATACATCGCGTAACAATTGATTGCTATCAAAACGTTGTAGATTGTGTTTGGTATGGACACTTTCTTCATGTTGATTGGGACGCCTGCCATTCGCAGGAACATTAAAATGGTACGAAAGCGATTCTCCGTCACTTCACACGCCTGCGTTTCTTTCTTGCTCATTATAAAATTATTTTCCTAGAAGTGCAAATACGTACGGATATCAAAAGAGATACAAGTTGTTGCAACTGATGTGAACAGTTCGAATTTAGCGACAATGCACTCACGGACGTCTGCCTCTCAGGGCTACGCGGTTCAACTGAAGTACGCAGCGTTCCCTTCAGCACTGGCGTGCAGGTCTGCCTGAGGCAGCGGCTGTTCTTTGCTACGCAGCGTTAAGATGTGCGCAGTTCTCTTCTGGCTTCTGATTCCTTCTGCGTTTGCGCGAGTGAAGGAGGCGGTAACTTTGTTCAGGATGTGAATAACATTTTATCTTGAAAACACAGCGTTCATGTCCATGTTGCACAGAAGTGCGCAATCAATCGAAATTTCCTGCTTTCATTACAATCTCCAAGGATAAATTCTTTATGTAATATAAAACCACTCAGATGAGTTAGGGAACACTGTTTAATCGTCAGTAAACTCCAAAATTTGGTGAAAATAAAATATTAGATAACGAATCAGTCAAATGTGTTACCAACTTAGACTACGGCCAAATATTCTATAAAATACAATGATCATTATTTATTTTAATTGGAGTTATAAATGAACAAAAATGACGTAAATTGATTATAAATAGAGTAAATGGATGGCTTTCTTCAGAAATATGAGTCCATTCGAAAATGAAGTCTAGTTTCTGTCACAGGACTGAATTGTGGTTTGGCCCAGACTGTACGTCAGTGCCCAGTAATATCGGAACTGTGTAAAACTTTAACTGAATAAATAATATACTTTTAATTGTTCATTGATTTTCAAGAAGTTACTGGGTCATAAGTTTTTTGGATCACCTGGGTTTGACTGAATTTTAATTGAATCTTACTTTACCGTGACCAGTGATAATTTGATTGTTAATGAAACTATCTTTTGTCTCTCCTCAATTCCATGGCTTCCATGCGTAACTGATTATAATAAAATTACAAGCAGTAAAAGTACAGAATTACCTACATGAGATGTGTGAGTTCGTGTCCCGGACTGCTAACAATATCAAAAGGGTACCACGTTCTGAACAACAAATCAAGGGATATTTATATATCCGTACTACTGATTGTACCAGATGATATGGAGCTACGAATGCGAAGGAATACTTCATAACTTTCTTAAGTTTCGGTACCCACCCAGCTAGTGTACAGTGACCGGTTTGGGGATTTCTGGTCGGTTGGTCTTCCCATGTGAAGGATTCCGTGAGACGAAGCACACGCTGAAATTCACGTAAACGTCAGGTGGAACACACTTAAAAAAAATATTAAATAATATCGACTTTTCCGTGGTTACATGGTGTGGTCTCGTAGATCGGACACTTTTCTGAACAAAGTGTTATATCCTTGTAAGATTTGAGGCTTTCACGGCGGTGACTATAAAGAAAGCAGTATTCTGGTATTTGGCACCGTGTATATGTGGTGTTAACCTACGTTTCGGAGGAACGTATCTCCTCCTTCCACCCTGAAAATGGAGGCGATACGTTCCTCCGAAACGTCGGTTAACACCACATATACACAGTGCCAAATTCCAGAAGACTGCTTTCTTCGTTGTTATATCCTTCTTCAGTCATGTGAAATATTGGTAAATTTCTATCAGACTACACGTTCTCACATCTCAGAATACAGTAGTTACCGCTAAGAGAACTTCAAATCTCACAAAAATTTAAATGTCGTTTTGTGTTTTGAGACTTCGCGTAGAATATATAAATGATGTATATTTCTCTACTTTCACCAGTGAATCACTTCCAAATTCACTTACATCACCATATTCTGACATTCAATCTCTTATTGGGATTGGCTTTTGTGTATATTACATTTTCACGTTGGCACTAAAACACTTACTGATACCAGGATGTAAGTTGCGAATAGTACCACTAGAAGATATAATATTTGATTTACCTTATATTGAAATGCAACCAATATATTATTGAACTCGAATTCACTACTCGGAAAGTCTTTATAAAATTCTTCAAGTCATCGTTGTTTATGCAGATAACCACACACATTCCGATATACAGCGCGTAACCATTGACTGCCGTCAAGACGTTGTAGATTGAGCTTAGTATGGACCCTTTCTTCATGCTGATTTGGACGCCTGCCATTCTCAGGAACATAATAATGACACGAAAGAGATTGTCCATCACATCACACGCCTGCGTTTCATTATTGTTCATTTTAAAATTATTTCCTTAGAGGTGCAAATACGTACGTATATTAAAAGAGATACAAGTTGTTGCAACTTACACCAACAGTTCAACTTTAGCGATAATGCACAACCGGAAGTCTGCCACTGAGGGGCTACGCGGTTCGACTGAAGTGCCCAGGGGTTCCTTCAGCACTGGTGTGAAGGTCTGCCTGAGGCAGCGGTCGATCTTTGCTACGCAGCGCTTATGATGTGCGCAGTTCCTTTGTGACGTTTGATTTCTTCTGAGTTTGCGTGAGTGAGGGAGGCGGTGACTTTGCTCAGGAACTCAATGACATTGGCTAGGAAATTTTTATGAACAATTGTTTAATTAAGATAACATGTAAGTTCTCATGCCATGAATTTAGAAAATTAACCTAGTGCACAATCACAACACATCTACACTCCTACAATGTTCATGCAAACGCTCACACACGAACTGTCCGAATTTTTCCATTCGTATTTTACATTTTCCGTTGATCTTTCGTTTTAAATTCTGGGATTTCCATTCATACATATTTACTTTCCTTCCATACGTTCCTATGATACTACATTATGTTTCGCAGTCAGTTTGTAGATACGCACATATTTTATCCCTGATTTTGTCTTTTATTTCCACTTATTCTCCTTATTCTCATTAAGGGTTCACGGGACGGGGCTCCTTCGAGGCCCATATACACCGCGGTTGAAAATGGTTTTCCTGTACTCGAAACAAAGTAATTAGACTGAGTTACTTTTTTAATTGCCACACTGACTGTGCAGAATTGAAAACATTGAAGCAATAGCGTGAAGCCTGTTATAAACTTTTTCACTGATATCGCCATGTGTATGCACAGGGATGTTTGGAGTCTTCTGTGATATTTGTTTAATTAATATTAAAATGTCCATGAGTTCTTTTTGAATAATAAGTTTTATAAGTATCGCAGAATCTAGAGCTTCCTGACGATGGTGTATATAACTTAGAAATATAAAAAATTTGTTCTTTGTCCACCATCCGGTATTGGAAAGACTATAGAACACAGCGTTTGGAATGCTGGATCTGTTCACATCCTCAGTCCATGGGGGACGCTCTGGTTGTTCCCACCGAAAAAACTGACGTCAATCACTGGACAACTAATATCAGTACAACCACAGCCACCAAAATACTTGAGTCCAGGCTATGTCGAGGGGAGATAACGGGAACATATGCAATAGGAAGTGTTATAACTCATGTCCAGAACTGAAACTAAGTTATAGGGCACTGCGGTGTTTATATCTGCCATATCCCATTGCACTGATGGATCCATATTTATCTGTCAACCGGACACATAAGTGCACTGCATACCCAATGAAGGCAGTGTGACCCTTCCACGCGTATACTGAAGATGACAGAGAAACGGATATGTAGACTCATTTAGAATGTTCTTTCCCATGTAGTGTTTATGTAATACGAAATCACTTATATAAGATAACGCACACTGTTTAGTCGTCAGTAAACTAAAAATATTGTAATATTGCTGATGAACAAGTGTTAGATAACAAATCGGTGAGATGTGTTACTAACATAAACCACATCCTAATAATCCATAAGGTATGAAAATCATTTTTTATTTTAATTGAATTTATAGACGTAAATTGATTATAATACAGAAAAGGGAGATATATTTTGAAAAATATATTTGTCGAGCCGATAAATTAGTCTAGGTTTTTTCAGGACTAAATTGTAGATTGACCCACATTGTACGACAATGTCCACTGACATAATAATATGTAAATCTTTCACTGAATAACTAATGAACATTTAAATATCTGTTGATTATTAGAAAGTTGAAGTGACTTAAGTTCTTAAGTTTCGTTTTCAGCGTCTAAGTAAAGTACTTTACCGTGACCAAAGATAATTTAATTGTTAATGAATCTAAGTTTTGTCTCTGTTCAGTTCCATGGCTTCCATGCGTAGGTGATTACAATCAAATTACGAGCAGTAAAAATACGGAAACTCCTGCATGAGAATTGCGAGTTCGTATCCCGGACTGCTGATAGTGTCAAAAGGGTACTGCACTGGGTACACCAAATCATGGGATATCTACATCCGTAATCCTCAATGCACTAGATGTAAGAAACCTGTGAATGCGTAGACATACGTCATAACTTTATGAAGTTGAGGTTTCCACCCCGCTAGTATACGGTGTCCGGTGCGAGGATCTCTGGTCGGCTGGTCTTTACATGTGAAGGATTCCGTTTGACAAACAGACGCTAAAAATCGCGGAAACGCCTGTTGGAACACACACCCGAAACAATAATGTTACAATATGTCGACTTTTCTGTTATTACATTATATAGTCTCGTACGTCACCGACGTTTCAGTATATTACGTAGTCTTGGTCACCGACGTTTCGCAAGAAAGATTTACCCCATTCCGCATTTCGCTACTTTCACCAATGTATCACTTGCACTTTCACTTACTTCACATATTCTGACCTTGAGTGTCTTATTCGGATAGGTTTTTGTGTATAATTTTTTCATGTAGTCACTGAAAGAAATTTTAATACCAGGATGTAAGTTGCGCATAGCACAACAAGAATATGTGATATTTGATTTACCTTAAATTAAGATGCAACCAATATAATAGTGAACTTGAATTCAGGATTGGGAAAGTCTTCATAAAATTCTTGAAGTCATCGTTGTGTATGATATTATCCATATAAAATGCGAGACACAGCGCGTAAGCATTGATTGCCGTGAAGGCGCTGTAGGTGGAACAAAGTATGGACGCATTCTCTACGTTAATTTTGACGCCTGCCATTCTCAGGAACGTCAAAGCGGTACGAAAGCGATTTTCCGTCACATCACACGCCTGCGACTCCTTGTTTTCATCACAAAATTCCTTACTTACAGGCACAAGTACGTAAGAATGTGAAACGAGACAATTCTGATGTACGAA